TATATCTCTTGTCTTTTATCATCTTATATGATTGTTTTGTCTTTGTCATAGAGTATAACACAAAATCTCCCCGTATACAAACTTTGTCAATCTCGAACCCAAAACCCACAATGCACAACTTCGTACCTAGGCTCTTTCCTCTACGCGCTTCGCTGGAGGCGCGTAGGGGAAGGAGCCTGGATACGAGGTTGCATAATGCACTGTGCATTCCAAAAGTTTACAAATAAAATTGCCTCAGGTAAGCCGTTCTAAAGAGACAAACCACTGAAAAGTGAGCCATTTCATGAGAATTAGCCTATCAACTTTTCGGACCGTTGGACTTCACTGCGTTTTTTGTCTGTTATATTATATATTATTAAATATTTATTTATATTTATATATTTATAATAGTTATTTAGAAACGATTGCCCTTCAGCTAATGCTGCTTTTCAAGGGATCATTTTATACAAACCTATAAAATATTAATATATATTTACAAAATAAAACAATGTTAAAGTAAAACAATATTAATAAGTCATGTTGCAATACTTGTGAGCATTATCAACAGTCAGTTATTTACCCATGTATTCTATATATGTCCCAATATTGGGACTTTGTTTGAATAAATTATTGTTTTATTGTTTAATCAATAGAAAAACAATTCTCGATTAAAATTTTAAAATGAAATGTTGATAGTTGCTCATACCGGTTGACTATGTCAATGGGTAAGTTGTTCCAGGCACAATTAAGCTCTTCGCGATCGGTATGAAAAGGATCTTTTCGTAAAATTAGTTTTAGGCTTACCTAACACAAGCTTGCGCATGTTACTCGGCATTTCGTAAATGTTATTTTGGTGATAAGAGAACATGTTAGAGACGTGCTCCGGCGCAATACAACGAATAGCTTTGAATGTCATTAAAATTTCCCTTTTCCTGAAAATAGGCTCAATTGGAGCCCATCCTAGAATCCGAAAGATTGTTTTTGACCTTATTTCGTAGTTTGAAGTTGTTTTCCATCTTGTACAGTTTTTCAAGATTCGTTCGATTTCCGTCTTCGTCAATTATAATCCCAAAGACCTCCTTCTGTTTGACTTGTTCAATAAGTGTATCATTAATTAGTATTTGGAGGCCTTTAGGGATTAGGTTTAATTTTTTTTTTGAGGCTATCAGCAATCGGCATAGATTTAGTTTTCTTAGTATTTAATGTTAATTTGTTGGCCTCGAGCCATTTACTTAAATTACGCAAGTCGGAGTTTAGTTTATATTCAATTTCTGCAGTTGACACTCCAGAACACGTAAGATAAGATAAGATAAGAGACTTTATTTATAGAGGATAACACTTGACAGTACGAATACTGATAACTCCGTGGTCCTCTGGTAGCATTCTTACAGTATTTCTAAGTCTAAGGATATTAAAATATATATACATGAAGTGAAAAATCATTATAATAACTACAAATTAAAGTTAATTGTTTTAAGTACTTTAAAATTAGGAAAGTTTTTGAGCATCTAAAAAGTCCTTGTATAGTCTATGTTTAAAACTATATAGGCTTGCAGAATTCCTGATTTTTACATTAATAGTATTCCAGTCTTTGATAGCCCTCACTGCGAATGTTTTTCCACCTTCCGTTATTCGATTATATCGGGGGCATATCATGTTAATCTTGGAAAAACGTGTTTCTCGATTGTGGATGTCAGAATTTCTCACCAGCATAGAATTAATATATATAGGACAGTTGTATGAGTCTTTTACACGTTTGTAAACTATACTACTTCTTCTAATAAATAGTTCATCAGTGAAAGGAATCCAATTTAACCCATTGAAGAGAGTTTTCGAAGGCGTTGTCTTTTCCACGCTTAAAATAATCCTTGCTGCCCTCTTTTGTAGTTTCAGTATTCTGTCAAGATTTTCTTTACTGCAACATGACCATACAGCACTTCCATACATAAGCTTCGGTTTAATGATCCCATTATAATAAATTTCTCTTTGTTGTTTTTTTAAATATGGACTGATGTGCTTCAGCAGACCGAGTCGTTTTGAGATCTGTTTACATAGACTGTCTATATGATCTTCATATGCTAAATCTTGATCTACTATAACACCAAGGAGTTTTTGACTTTCTACTTGGGAAACTGTCGTACTTCCTAAAGCAAGATCCATTTGAAGATGTTCGTCTGGTATTTTCTTCCTTAAACGCTTTCCGGTAACAAGCATAGATTTGGTTTTTTCCGTATTGATGACCATTTTGTTGTTAATGGACCAATTACATATACTATCGAGGTCTTTTTTTAAATTTTGAACCATGGAAGGGATATTTGTCCACTGTGTACTAGCTGATAACGTTGTGTCATCTGCAAATATATCTAAGTTCGAGTTTGAAACATGAAGGGGAATATCGTTGACAAACAGAAGAAACAATATAGGGCCCAATACAGATCCCTGAGGTACGCCGTGTGTTACAAATTGTGGTCGAGATTGTTTACCATCAATTGTAACGAATTGCGATCGGTTGGTAAGGTACGATTTAAACCATTGAAGGGTAGACTCACTAGCTCTGTATAGTTTAAGTTTCTTTAGCATAATTTGATGGTCCACAATGTCAAACGCCTTCTTAAAGTCTATAAACAAGACGCCAGTAACATTATCTTGATCCATGTTTGACAATATTTGATCAGTAAGTTTTATCAACGCTGATTCTGTAGAATGCAATCTGCAAACATTGATGCTCGAGTATGTTCGAGGTAGACATCATAGGTAATTAATGGGGGGAGGGACTTATCGGCTATCATAGTACTGAGAGTAGTACACACCTCTTTTGGAAACCAGCATTAATATTGTTGAATAGATTAGTGTGTTTTTAAATAAAGTTGATCCATCCATCCATCCATCTCGTACCAAAATGCTTATAAGGAAAATCGCGCTAAGCACTTCATTATTATATATAGAACAGTGGTTAAACTAAGCGAGCGCGCGGACTTCGGGAGAACGCGATGGCAGTTGGAACCGGAATATAACTGGAACGCTTCCTTTAACCGAAAATTTGAAGCCAAACTTGAAGGCAAGTCTCTGTCGTTCCACGCAGTTTTGTCCTTGTTAAAATGGCATGCCCGCTCCCAGAAGGCGCGTGTCTTGTGGTCAGAGTTGGTTTCAAGAAAAAGATAGACGATTTATCTGAAGGTAGCATTCATGGCCAGTTATATTTATTTTACTGTTCTTGCCTATCTACGCCTTGTCGTTTAAAGGTTTTAATAACTAAAAGACACGTTGAAATTTTTTCTTACATTTTATTACGAGAAAAGATATCCACATGTTTAACTTATCAACTAATACAATGTAACTACTGGCATTAAGCGGATGTCTTGCATTCCTAATTGAATGCACTTCAAAATTCACCAATCTTAGCCACTTGAAGACTTGGGAGCGTAGTCCGTGATATTGTACCGGGGTACAATCATGGCAACGTAGTCCATTGGCACAGAAGCAGACCCTTGTTCAAACTGCAGTGTTCCTTTGGCGAGTTTGGCGGACGTAATATTCACTTGTTTAGAAGGAGTGATGCCTTCGTAGACATTGTCCTCATACACGTGGTGTTGACTCAGCTCAGCGTGTTTACCAATGAATATACATTCTTCTTCTGAAGTTGGGTTAGCTCCTTCGATCTCGAAAACATTGCCAGCGTAGACCAGATTCTCCTCCGTGAAATCCTGGTGGGGTTCAAGGTAATATATACCGCTTTTTCGGGCGCCGGGTTTGGTGCGTTCCACGATGTGGTTGCCATAGACCAGGACATTCTTCAAAAACAACGGAAGCGGTCGGCCGACCTGCTTGTGGATGTACAACAAAATTCCCGTATCGTCTACGTAATTGCGCGCAATAACGAGGCCTTCTCCGTTTCGTGCCTTTATCCCGCCGGACGAGTCGGGATCCCAACCCCGCACGTAATTTTCCGTGAAATTCAAATTGTGAAAAGCCTTCAAGTAGACAGCGTGATCTTTGTGTTCTATGGACCCATTACGAACATAATTTGGGCTGCCGTTGAAAATGTTCTTCTCGATCGCAGAGTCATTGTTAAAGCCATGGTAGATTGAAGATTTCCAGAAGCCCTGATCCTCATGAAGGTTCAACTCGCTCTTGAGGAACTGAAGCTTCAGTTTTAGTGTTGGCCAGTACGTAGGGCCTAGCTGGTTATCCATCCAGTCGATTCTTCCCAGATCTAATCCAAAGATATTTTCTCTATTTTGATGGCTACCGAGCTCTGCACGTCAACCGCGACGCCAAATCCGCGTTCATCACGCAAAAAAACCGAATGACTCAAAGCGGGGCGGTGTATGCCAGTGTTATCGATATCAACAATGCGGAGCTGACCCTTGTCAAGCCTAGCGTGGGGGGAGGGGTGCTCGTTTGAAAAGAATACACAATGAGAAATCGTGATTCTGTCTTGCCCAAATTCCAGGCGGACTCCATCAAAGAACAAACGATCAATATCAACGTAATCATGTGCTGCTATTCCTTCATAGTTTATGGTGGTCAACAGGGCACTTGTACTTTCGGTGCAAAACAAACTGATACCGTCAACAGATCCCATCAAGGTGACTCTACCTTTGATGATAAGGTTTGAAGTAATTAGATATTTTCCGGCGGGGAAGTAAATTACAGTCGTTCCGGATTTTTGTGAAGCATTATCGAAGATGGCTTGTAGGGCTGCGGTGCTGTTATTCTGTCCAGTTCTGTCAGCTCCTGTTAAATTGTACTTGTTACCAGGGTCCGGATTTGTCACGTCGAGGTCCCCTCTAGCACTGGCAGGATCGTTTGCTTTGAAGTAATCTAAATAAAACAGCACACACTTTTACAATGACATAGATTTTTGTATATTGTTTACGCAAGTGAACACGCGAAAACGCACAGGTTGTTACAATTAGACTGCAAACAAGGTGTTACAAATCTGTTCGTACGGTGTCGACAGGCTGTGTTCGCACTGCTTGTTCCCAGTTGTTGTAACTGAAGTTTGGAACAAGCAACTTGTAACAAGCTTGATTGCATTATTAAACTTAAGATGAAAAATTAGTATTAGAAACGCCCCCATGAAACTCCCCTAGCAAGTTTAGCCGCTTCACCGCAAACTTACTTCATATCCATATCGACCCCCCCCCATCCACGCAATCGCATAATCGTTGCGCGTTCTCTGAAGCAGTGCGAACACAACTTGTTGACGGCTTGTTGGCAGACTTGTTACAAGATGTGACATTTTTGCGTGTGAACCACGCGTGCGTGTCCATAATTTCCCACGGTCCACAGTCTCTATCAGGTACGTATTTTATACGACATTCTAAACTCACAAGATAAAATGTAAAAAAAAGTTTCTTGCCATACTTTTTTTCTGCTGTCTGTTGTTTTATGTAAATACAAGCTGAACACAATGTTTTTTTAAGTTGGGTCTAGATATTTTAGGGAAAGGCCGTCTCGCATGGGTTCTTTTGTTGTGAATTTTGTAAATTTGGAATCTGCAAAGTGTAGAGGCTAGAGACAGAGTGTAGAGTATACAGTCAGGGGTCTCAAAAAAGCGACCCTTTGGAAATTCACCTTATTGTTATATTATTTGAATGCCTGAGTCTTACACTGAACACAATTGAATCGAGTTTATGCATGGGAGTTATTTAAAAGTTTTTAGTATCGTTCAACATATGAATATAATGCTTGTGTGATGTTACTCTGAGTGTATATCCACACCGGGCAGGCTTGAAAAATATGCCTGGCCACGGTGGGATTCGAACCTACGACCTTTAGAATACTAGCCCAATGCTCTGCGAACTGAGCTACGCGGTCAGGTCGGTTCGAGTATGCGATATTTCGGAACTGAGTCTAGTTAGTTCGATATCAATGTAATCTAATTATATGGAACACGCTTCCCGGCTTCATAAGAAATACCACCACATCTCTAACTACATTTAAATGTAATCTAATGAAATACTACGTAGAATTAACCCAACAAATTTATGACCCTGAAGATCCAAGAACATTTAAGTCTGTGTGTATTAAATGTCACACCACTCGCCCACTAATGAACTTATCAACTCGAACATGTTGCTAAATTTAGTTTTTGTTCGTTTGTTCGTCAATCCGTTTGCTTTGTCTTCTTGTATTTGTGTTTAATTGTTATGTTTGCTTTAACTTCAAAATAATTAGATATACCATTAGTTGTTCTTTTTTGGAACCCCGTTATTGGAGAACTATCTCTGTGTGGAAATTCCAGTCATTTGTAACCATAGTACTCTATTACACTAATATCGAAGGATCTAGACTCAGTTCCGAAATATTGCATACTCGTACCGACCTGACCGCGTAGCTCAGTTGGCATGCAGAGCCGGCATTGGGCTGGTATCCCAAAGATCGTAGGTTCGAATCCCACCGTGGCCAGGCATATTTTTCAAGCCTGCCCGGTGTAGATATACACTCAGAGTAACATCACACAAGCATCTAATTATTCACCTGAGTACATTACACCAACACAGCAAATATCATGATTATATTAGATTACACTGATATCGAAGGAACTAAACTCAGTTCCGAAATATCGCATACTCGAACCGACCTGACCGCGTAGCTCAGTTGGCAGAGCATTGGGCTGGCCGGTATTCTAAAGGTGGCTACATTACACCAACACAACAAATATGAATATGATTATGTGCTGATTAATTTAACGGAGCGCGTAAAACAATAAAAACTCTTAATACTCTGTAGTCAGTCGAACCATTTTTAATCGAACAGAGTCACTGACGAGACTAATTTCTAAGTCGTTTTAACTTTCCATCGGAATTTTCATGTACAACTTTCGTTACGAAACGAAAAGAAACAATTAAAGGGCTTCATTGCCAAAGAATAAAACGGGTTTTTCCAGTACCATTTTCTAGTCCTATGATGTACTACATACCGGTCGATCCGCTTTGCCGTTTAGCCTGATGAGCATCTGGAGAAGTTTGAAATTTCTTTTTGGCCTTCACGAAACTGCGAACCTTGTTCTTGGCGTGTTTGGAAGCGCGTTTCCCGTCGATCCTTGAAAAATACACAAATATGAAATAAACAAAATATAGGTATGAGACAAAAAGCACGCGTTCAGAACGCCTCGACTTACCAAAAGTTGGCAACAAAAATAGACATTAAAATCAGAGTGATTACTGCTTGCTTCGACATCTTCAACGTCTCTTGGTATCCTTTGACGAAATGACAACCCGGAATACTTCATGTACCTTATGGGTAGCTGACAACGTTTTCATGAGGTCATCCGCAACAAACCTCAAATATAAAAAGCAGGTTGACAAGCATAAAAAAAGTTTGGAATTTACCACAAACAAGACGCCAAGCCTCGCCAAATTTTGGTATATAGTTATCCTTAACTTGCGCACAAAATATGGAACAAATTATGAACTAAAATTGAGCAAGTGATTTGAACACAACTGAGAGTCCCTGGCTTTAATTCACGGCTCGGTTAATCCTCTGAAAAATACCAGATTTCATAAAAGAAGCCACCAGGCTACAAGCAACAGCTAATGAACTAAAATTGAGCTCTCGCATGCGGGCAAGTGATTTAAACACAAGAGAGTCCCTCGCTTTAAGTTCACGCCTCGGTTAATACTGTGAAAGATACCAAATTTCATAAAAGAAGCCACAGGCTACAAACAACAGCTAGAGTGTCAAATGCAATATCAGGGTTTTGGGGGAATCTATAACTAATTGTAGTTAGGACTTAGGTAGGCCGTACTTTTAAAAACGCGAGCAGGAATGCTTTATCAGATATAATGTTTGAAAAAGCAAGAACTGTGAGTGTTTTAAATGGCATAAAAAAACCACCACTTTTTAAGTACATTTTAAAAATCACCCGAGAAAGTCAAAGCTAAAGTTTATGTTGATGTAAGTTATCACATGTAAAACCAAAGACGCGTTAGTGATTTCCTGTGTCTTTTCCTGATGAATTATTAATGAGTTTTTAAAAATAGAGTGTATAGTTGCTTTATTTTATTATACTGGCCGCTTTTTATTGCATTTCTATTACTGTTTTGTTGAGCTCGAACCACAACTACTCCACAAGTCCATGCATGACATATTATACAGCTCAGTGTTACGTTCTCCAGTAATACATATAGCCCAGTGTTTCAACCCGATTGCTTTCCGAACACATTCCGACAAATTTTGCGCATGCGTATAATTTTCCCGCCGAAACTTCAAATTTCTCTTTTCAAAGTTTTTGAAAGTTTTTGAAGCCCCGGAATTTCCCCTGTTTAAATTCGTCTAGAAACAAGAAAGAAAAGGCTTTTTGTTGTCTATTTGTGGATTATTTTGTCTAAAACAGCAGCAGAAATATTTCAGGTATGCTTGTTTGTCTTTTTATCTCAAATTTTCGCCTTTTTCTAAGCAATATATTTTCCCGCTAGATTCGCGTTTGTTGACATTTGTGTTGTATGTATTTTTTTGCAAAGTTTTGTACCTAAAACCGATATTTCCATCTGTTTTTAGCATGCCAAAACGCAGAGACGATGACCTTTGTGAATATGAACTGAAAAGGATAGCAAATATCAACAGAAATCTTGATTTTCTCGAGAAATTGGATATGTTGAATTATAGGTCTAGATTCTAAGTATACCGACAGGAATACTGTTCTAGTTTTTAAAATTTTACTTAGTTGTAAAAATTAGGATAAATGACTCGTTTTTTTCTCTATATTTCCTATTTTCTGCACCTCAGACAAGACGTTTTATAATATAAATTATTTTATACTCGCAAGTCCGAGCGATACAATTCAAAATGATTTTCTTTATTAAATTTGTTTGTTTGTTTGTTTGTTTGTTTGTTTGTTTGTTTGTTTGTTTGTTTGTTTGTTTGTTTGTTTGTTTGTTTGTTTGTTTGTTTGTTTGTTTGTTTGTTTGTTTGTTTGTTTGTTTGTTTGCTTTAATTTGTTTGTTTATTATAAACAGAAAAAGTGCTTCAGATTTTTTTATATTTACATAGCAAACCCGCATGTATAATATGCATGCATTTATATAGCCTATAAAATGCATAGAGATTTTTGTCTAAAAGTAAAAATACATGCCATGGCAAATAGAAACGAGGATCTGTTAATAAGACTCTTTTAAAACATTAAAAACGTTTTAATACAGCCGGTATGCAAGTCATGGACTATGACATGAAAACGAGGGCTGTCTGAAACTCACGAGCTTTGGACGTCGTTTTGGTGTTTCGTAAAGACTTGGTGTTGGCTGAATCTCTTTCTTGTTTAAAATCTGCCTATTCATTTCGAAAGCCATGTATTTTATTTAATTTTGACATGCAGTTTGACTCGGGATATACCGTAAAACCTCCGACTATAAGCCCTGGGCTTATATTAATATTTCGTAAGCGATTTTTGATGGGCTTATACAAGGAGGGGCTTATATACGGGGGGGGGGGCTTATACATGGACGATTTTTTGTGTTAGTGTAATTGTAATAGTGATAAATAGTGGTAATAGTGATAAACAAGTGGGCTTATATTCGGGTGGGGGGGCTTATATTTGGAATGAGGTAAGCGCGTTAGTACATGTGGTGGACTTATACACGGGGAGGGGTTATATTCGGGGAGGGGCTTATATTCGGAGGTTTACGGTACGAACTATGAAGTCTACTAGAAAATACATGCATGCAGAAACCCTCGCCTTGCTGACAAAACCGTTGTATTTTCCGAACATGAAGTATCTAAAGTAGTTGTTATGGTAACACGATAATTTTTTAAGAATATTCCAGGAATATTCTTACAAATGAAAATCGCCTAAAAATATCACTTTTAATTACAAAATTATCAATTTCTCAACATATATATGTTAGGTATGTAATTATACGTAATACAAGCTTCAATTTAAGGTAAAATTCAACAACAAACAATTCACAAAACGTTTTAAAGTGTTCTTTATAAAACTAAACTGCCTTTAACTATTAAATGGCTTTATCGATAAATTTGAGTTTGCAATAAAATGATTTCAAATTCTCGCTTGCAAATAACTTTGCTTTATTTTTTATTTAAAAATTCAATATAATAAAAAAGGGAATCAATATTAAAGATACACTGAAATTATATGCTGTCTTGTTTTAATAGTTGTTTGATATACGCAAAAGCCGTCGGGTTTTAAAGCCATTATAAAATCAATATTTAAAACAAACTTACCTTCGTTAACGTCGGCTCCCTTCTTTTAGCTGATTCTTTCGCCCTTTCATTCTTGAAATTTACAAAATCTTGCAGAAATACGAGCAAAAATGAAGAATATTTGCAAGAAATTTATCAATCATCAACTCATCAAATAAAGAAATGTTTGCTATTTCGCTGTCGTCATGCAGTCGTTATAATGCAAACTTTAAATTGGACCAATCAGTGTCCGTTATTCATGACAGTCCGCCATATTTTTGAGATCAGTGAGGATGACCACCCATCGTTGGTGACCGACGCCCGCGCTCATTGATGAACTTTAGACTTCCCTAATGCTTTCGTTTCCCCGAGTGTAAATAGCCGGGGGGAATTAGTACCCTCGCACGGCGCTTCGCGCCGCCGGCTCGGGGATTAATAATTCGCAAAGTTCTAATTTCCCTTTGCCGTTGTTTTGGTGTACAATAATTATCATAGATAATCAATAATTATCATAGATAATCAATAATTATCATAGATTATCAATAACTATCATAGATAATCAATAATTATCATAGATAATTAATAATTATCATAGATAATAATTGATTATCATAGATATAAATAATTACATTGATAATCAATAATTATCATAGATAATCAATAATTGTTATAGATCATCAATAATTATCATAGCTAATTCTCAATAATAAAATGACACTGCCTGCTGGTTGGGCTGTGCTCGTGTGTACGTTTTAAGCAAAAGAAGGCTCGCTTACTTAATTTCTAGGAATTGAAGTTGACAGATCAGCGTACTTTCCTAAGCAACCACGTAAAAGAAGCACCAAAGTTGAGAGTGACAGCAGCAGTGATGAAGAATGGCTGCCAGGGAAAGATGAAAATAATCGCAAGAAATTTAAACCATACAAACCAGGTAAATTAACTTGCTTTCTTTTCTCTAAATAATAGTCTATCCTATCAGTGCGCAGCGCTATATATTTCCTAAAGAATATATGTAATATACCTCTTCAGTTTTCAAGCCAATGAAGACGGGACATACAATCACAAAGAAATCTTCCAGCAATACAGAATCGTATCAGGTAGATTTTGCTAGCTTTAATTTACATACAGTATATAGATAATTTCAAGCAAAATTAGAAATTGATCAGCTCTCAAGCCTTAACAGTTCCCATCAACTGAAACCAATTTCCGATGAACCCTTGACTTGAAATCGCTTGAAATGCGTTCATGTGATCTTGCAGATGAAAAAGCGCTCATTCCCAATTTTCAAAATGTAACGTTTATTACACGAGCGTTTTATAAAGTTTATTCATATATTATAGTTAACTGAACGAATTTAATTAGTTAGGTGATCAGGTTTACCTTAAAACTAATATTTAGTGTGGTTGGTCTGTACACTTCAGTTGTCAATAGTTGTCGCAAATGGTTTCATTTTGTAGAATACAAATATTAGTTGTTTTAAACGTGTCTCACTACTCACTACGTACCCTTAACCCGTTATATGGATTGACTAATTTTATAACTGCCGGTATATAAAATATAACATAATAAAAATTTCTAGGCCCAAACTATTACCAGCCAATCTCAGCCTAGTACCAGCACAGCTGCCACACCAGGTGATGAAGATTTTGAATTCCTTGGAAGACTTGCTACTGATGAGATAATCTTTAATAAACCGGAAAACGTAGAGCCCGAGCCCAAGAGACGATCCATCAAGTTTAAGTGTAAAAGTGTAAAGAAACCAAGCAGGCGATCTACAAGACATACTGTACGTAAAAACTACACAGAAGACGAAGTCCCTGATGATGATCACTATATTTGTAAGTTCGAAAATTATTTTTGATTATACAAACAACTAAAAACCCCGTTTGATCCATAAATATCTTATATATCTATGGTTTAATCTTGTATAGTGATAAGTGATATTTTAGGAATTTTCTTTTCATCTTTTTCGATCAACGGCAGTTTCTTTTGCTACATATTTCATATTTGATGTGTACCTTAATTATCTATACATTATCTATATTGTACTTAGAGAACTGGAACACGGAATTTTGGCGAAATCCATTTTAAAATCACTCTAATAAATTCTCTAATATTTGTATACCCGCCCTCAATTTTATTCAATAGACTGCGATCAGTGTGACGACTTTTACTATGGAGAATGTCCTACACATAACTTCAACATCATTGAAGACAATGACACGGGAGCAGGAAAGAAGACGCCTGGTGCAATGAAGTCACTTCCAGAAAACTTATATGTTAAACCTTCAACGATTCCTGAAGCTGGTATGGGAGTTTTAGCGAAGGAGAAGCTGGAAGTAAATACTCGTTTTGGACCATACCGGGGGGACAAAATCCTGAAGGAAGATTTGGAAGAAGGAAGAAATACATCGTATATGTGGGAGGTATAGCGTCATCACTATCACTGAAATTAAATGTACTACGAGAGAATTTTACCAACCATTGTAATGTTCTATTAGAAATTTTATATATAGTGATGTGTTCTTATTTATACTGTATGCATAACCTGATTTTCAGATTGTACAAGAAGGAAAGATTCAATGTTATATCGATGGTAAAGACCCTTCTCACAGCAACTGGATGCGGTTTGTTAACTGTGCACGATGTGAGGACGAGCAAAACATAATTGCGTATCAATATCACGGAGAGATTTTCTATCGAGTGTATAAAGAAATTGACGCGGATTCTGAACTCTTGGTTTGGTATGGAGATGAATATGCAGAACAACTTGGTATACCGCTATTTGAAGAGGAAGAAAAGCAAAAGGAAAAACGTTTTGAAGGTATGAACATGTCTTCTTAGGCAGATTGTTGTATAAAGATAAATGACTTAAGCTGGAGTTCACTGGATTAGTAGGGAGTCACAGCTAGGGTTCGTACAAAACTTGAATTTGAAAACAAATATTCAAGCTGAAGGCCTCGAATATCCTTGAATTTGTAAATAAGTACTTGAAAGATCTTAAAATCTTCTTGCTTTAGTTTATGGACTTTTTCTAAGATTGTTTGTCATTCAAAACGAATATTTTATAATTGGGGGTTGGGTATATTCATATATTCGTGTTCAGCCCGACGGATAATTTCTTTTGAAAGCTATTGTTTTTACGCTACATGAACATGAATATATGAATATACACCCCTGCCCCAATTATCCCGTCTAGCTACAGCCCTGACTATAGTAATGGTACGTTATCTGTTGCAGTGTTATCTGGCCGTTGCTCCGTGATGATAACATGTAATAATCTAATGCCGATTACACGTGTGTGGTTGCTTTATTCATGATAAATGTGCTTAACAATAGGCAATTCAATGCAGTTTTCAGTTCATGCGTGTAGAGAAGGGTGGGAAGTAAGGTATCATATCGCTCGTTACGCTGAAAAAACAAAAGTGGTGGTCCTGTAAACACGGAGTGGTAGCTTATACTGTACTTGTAAATATTGATATATATATATCGGTTGTTTCGGCAGTTTTTATTGAAAATTTTCAGCATAATCAGCAATATAATTACCTTACTTCCTGTCACTCCCTGCGCGCATAAATGAAAAGCTTGAATTGCCTATTAAGGCATATAAGTACTGGTGAGAGACACCCATCTCTACTCACTTCAGTGTTCAAGCACAGGGAAATTATATCATATTCAACCTAGGTAAACCATCGACCTATAGTAGGCATAACTCAACGGGCGGTAAATCAGGGTTCGTACGCCCCCTGGAAAACCCTGGATTTTTATTTTAGTCCTGGAAAACCCTTGAAAACCCTGGAAAACTGAGAAACTGAGCTGGGTACAGGATCATACCTAAACTATTTAAGACTATCTTAAAAAGAAAGATTGAACAAAAGGTTCTTGCATTATATATAGTCAAACTATGAATATATTTCGTTCAAACTGGTACAAACCCAAAAGTATCTGTGCAAGATGAAGTACTAGCCGTCGCGAACGTTTCTTACCCGTTAAACACTTATAGATTTATATTTCAAATGCCCCTGGAAAACCCCTGGAAAAAGGATGAAAAAAGTCCTGGAAAACCCCCAAATTATGAAGATGTACGAACCCTGGTAAATGGTTTTGTGCCCAGCAAACCGCGTCTGCATGCCACCCACGCTAGTCAGCCAAGTTTAATTTCATATATGTTACTTTTTTTCAGAGGGTTGTCATACCTGTAAACATTGTGGAAGAATGTATACTTATCTCAATTACCTGCAAGCTCATTTAAAGAGATGTCCAATGTTGGTATGCACCAAACTATGGGAATGCCCTCACTGCAGTAGAAAGTACAGTAGCGAAGATTACCTTAACGTTCATATTAAAAATGACTGTAAGAAAAATCCACACTTAAATATTCTTAAAGAAAAACATTGTAGTGTAAGTGGCATTAGGAAGAAACCCTTTTCTAATCAAAAACAGATTTATGGTGGGAGAATAAAACCTGGCAGTGTATCAAAGATAAAATCAGAAACAATTGATCAAAATAGATCTGATGTATGTGAGCTGGAACGTGATAGGATAGGTGATATACCAGTTGATAGTTATGAAAGTGGTCATAAAAGTGGAAAACATCCACATCAATGTCAACATTGTGGTAAGACATTTACACAGCAAGGTAACTTGAAGACACACGAAAGAACACACAGTGGGGAAAGACCTTATCAATGTCAACATTGTGGTAAGACATTTACACGGCAAGGTAACTTGAAGAGACACGAAAGAACACACAGTGGAGAAAGACCTTATCAATGTCAACAATGTGGTAAGACATTTACACAGCAAGGTAGCTTGAAGAACCACGAAAGAACACACAGTGGGGAAAGACCTTATCAATGTCAACATTGTGATAAGACATTTACAGAGCAAGGTCACTTGAAGACACACGAAAGAACACACAGTGGGGAAAGACCTTATCAATGTCAACATTGTGGTAAGACATTTACACTGCAAGGTAGCTTGAAGACACACGAAAGAACACACAGTGGAGAAAGACCTTATCAATGTCAACATTGTAGTAAGACATTTACACAGCAACAGCACTTGAAGACACACGAAAGAAGACACACTGGGGAAAGACCTTATCAATGTCAACATTGTGGTAAGACATTCACCTATCAAAATGTCTTGAAGAACCACGAAAGAACACACAGTGGGGAAAGACCTTATCAATGTCAACATTGTGGTAAGACATTCACCTATCAAAATGTCTTGAAGAACCACGAAAGAACACACAGTGGGGAAAGACCTTATCAATGTCAACATTGTGGTAAGACATTCACCTATCAAAATGTCTTGAAGAACCACGAAAGAACACACAGTGGGGAAAGACCTTATCAATGTCAACATTGTGGTAAGACATTCACCTATCAAAATGTCTTGAAGAACCACGAAAGAACACACAGTGGGGAAAGACCTTATCAATGTCAACATTGTGGTAAGACATTCACCTATCAAAATGTCTTGAAGAACCACGAAAGAACACACAGTGGGGAAAGACCTTATCAATGTCAACATTGTGGTAAGACATTCACCTATCAAAATGTCTTGAAGAACCACGAAAGAACACACAGTGGGGAAAGACCTTATCAATGTCAACATTGTGGTAAGACATTCACCTATCAAAATGTCTTGAAGAACCACGAAAGAACACACAGTGGGGAAAGACCTTATCAATGTCAACATTGTGGTAAGACATTCACCTATCAAAATGTCTTGAAGAACCACGAAAGAACACACAGTGGGGAAAGACCTTATCAATGTCAACATTGTGGTAAGACATTCACCTATCAAAATGTCTTGAAGAACCACGAAAGAACACACAGTGGGGAAAGACCTTATCAATGTCAACATTGTGGTAAGACATTCACCTATCAAAATGTCTTGAAGAACCACGAAAGAACACACAGTGGGGAAAGACCTTATCAATGTCAACATTGTGGTAAGACATTTACAGACAAGAGTAACTTAAAGACACGTTTAAAGACACATAACAAGTAATATCTTCAGGTAAAAATATTTTCACAGTAGTTCAAGCCGAGGCATGAATGGTAAGAAATGCGTAAAAATGCCTCTTTCAGGTGGTCACTTTGAAACAATTTGCCTATTAGATAAAATGACATTCAAACAATTTTCATCTAATAGACCCTTTCGATAATTACGTCACGTATATCTCAACTTGGCATGGGAACCAGTTCAATGTTAGCCTGCATGGCAGGCGGTACGTAGGAAATACCGCCTGCCGCAAAACTGGGTGTAAATGAACTACCGCCCCTGAAGCATCAACGCTATTTATAGAGCATTAATTAAGTAAATATTCAAAATTAGCCACTCCCAAGCTGCTCCCAAGTCCCAACTGCCCAACATAAAATAAATTCCTTGATTCTCATCACCGCCCGACTGAATTTTAAAATCCTCATGAAACTGACGTTTTATATTTCGTTATACAATATAAATGTACCGCCCAACAAAATAATTCAAGACAGTTAATTTTTTCATATTTTATATAGAGTTTTTATTGCCATTTTAAACTTCCAATTTGAAACAAACAGAATTTTGAGTGAAATTTCATTGTATTTTAAAGAAACTCAGTTATTCTGTCATTGTTCGTGGAGATACGAACTATTGATATATAAATTATATAAATATAAAATATAAAAAATAAATCTCCCACTGTCTTCGACATTTCAAAGTGTAGACTGTGTCTAGTGATGAGAATCAAGGAATTTATTTTATGTGTTAATATAAACTAAGCCCGTTTAGCTGCCTTAAAACGGTGGTTTAATAAGCTCAATGCAAGTCTATACTATAGATTCATCATCAGTCAACAACCAAACTGAAAGTAT